GTCTCCCTTCTCTCTTCTCCCCGACCTTCCTTTGTAAAGAATGTCCAACTGAATGATTACAAATGCCTATGATTCCTGCAGAGATCTTTACAAAGACAAAAAGATGTCATATCAAACTTTCTCTGGACAGCTTTAAAAAGAAGAGATCTTCCAAATCACATAGTTAATGTGACTAATATAAGGTCAAATTTATAATATTGCACATTCGTGTGTGTATTCACTCTACATTAGGGTCTGCAGATAAAAAAAAATTGGACAATTTATACACTACTTTGAGGTCTAATTTAGGAGGCATGCCATGTTGGCGATACAGAGCCATATCCATAGGAATCAGGCTTCCATTCTTAACTCAATTCTACCACTAACTGGCAATGTGATTTCCAGAACAATTCTGTGTTTCTGTTGCCTGTACTGTAAAATGAATGAGTTAGACTATCTCTAAGGTCTCATCCAGTACAACACTTCATGACTTAGAGCAAATATTTAATTTCAAAAATCACAGTTTTATGCCATACTGTAAATAAAACTGCTGGTAAAAAAAAAAAATAATTTGCAGAGTTTGTGTACAGGATCTTAAACAGACTGAGGCATGAGGGGTAAGGGATGAGATGTGGGAGGGTAGAGGGGGGTTAAGAGTTCAATTACTTAACACTAAACAAGGCACTATACTAAGAACATGGAGGGGAAAATCCAGGCTTAGTTTCCCTAAGGACTTTCCTCCATTATCATTTTAGCCTGCTTAGGGGAGAGGCATTTCATACTATCTTGTATTTTTGACCAATCAAAATTCATCTTGATAAAAACACACATCTTTTATGGCTCTGTAGATTGTAACAAACTTAAATGGCCACAGGTGCTTTCTGGGAAAAGAGTATAGGCAGGTCCCAATGCAGTTCTTCTCTACCTGTTGTATATTTAGCCTCAACACTTCCACTTATCTGTAGGACCTCTTCCCCTCTAACCTTAAGACATCCATTAACTATCTTTAATAAAGTTCTTACACTACCATAACTTATGAAACAATACAAATATGTAAATTCTCCACTTAATTCCAACATACTCAGATCTCACGTAAAAGGCAATTTTTATGTATATGAAATACTAGGACAAACTTCTCAAAGATGGTTTAGTTTATTAGTTCACTTAAGAAACACAGATAATACATTAACTGAAAAATGCACTTTTTACCTCTTCACACCCTTAATTAAGTTCTACAGCTTATATATAGCTCCTTTAGATGAATCTTAAGTTACCTGATAAGAGACAGATACTCTCAGACAAATTATCAATAGTTTACAGAAAAAGTAACCTGAACATTATTGACTATCCACTAACAATCTTTTCTCTCTTTTTTTGTATATTAATGTTTAAAAGTCAGCATCTACTCCAATACATACACTAGTCATCTTAATTTCTTCATGTACTTGTTAAAGAGAGAAATCTTTACAAACACTCCATCATCTATCTGCTCTGGGAAAGGTCCTTAAAGAAATCTCACCTTTGTCCATGTTCAAGATAGGTGTGCTTCAGAGCAGGGTGAGCAACAGAACAGGCAAGACAACTCAAAAGTACCTAATATTCTTTGGATTCAGTTCTTCAAGTCATTGTTTTTATTATTGTGCAAATTTTCCATACCAGAACCAACCACCCAAATAAATTTTATAATGCTATTTACTAAAACATATTTATATATTATTACAGGTAATATATCCTATTAAACTATATTTACATATAACAAAATTTTTTAATCAGTTGTTAGTATGAAAGTTTCCTTTCAATATATGATTATATAAATAAATGAGTGGAATATAAAATTAAGGCCTATTTTGAGAAACTTAGAAAAGACAATTGTGCTACCACAGCTGACTAGTCCTAAAGTCTTATCTGAGAGATCCAAAAGCTGGCTGTTAGTTTCCCACCCCAACCCAATTTGGGTTATTCCAGACTGAGGAGGAATCACCTCTAACATCGTCAGCCACTATTACACAGCCCCTATTACACAAAGACTCACCATAATTTCAGAAAATGGAAAAAAAATATTCATCCCCTAAATGAAGATTAGAGCTCTAATCCTAAAGGACAGTACAGGTTCTTTGTGTAGGCACAAAATATTTTGATTTTTAAAAAAGGGGTCCGGTAGAAGGAAAAATGGATAACTTCTCCTACAATTCCCATGGTGCTATTTTAACTTCTGTGCTTCATTTTTCTAATACTTTTTTAAAGTAGGTTGACTACACTTATAAAAATACTGAACTCATGAAAATAAATATAAACTATTAACAAAGTTTAGGAAAATCCCAGAGTTAATTTACAAAGTGTTGAGGGGCCTCAATTTCAAGTTTGACATCAAAAATCTACCTATCCATCAAATTAATACTGAAAAGCACACACCGCTTTTTTGCAAAGAGTGCTAGATAATATCCTATTTGAAATTACAGCCTGTCTCCCTCTTAGAAACAAATTTGTTAACAACAACAACAAAATAGTATTGGTCATTTTTAAACCAAAGCTACAAAATAAAAGTTGACCCAGAAATTATAGTCCAAGTTCCCATGTTAAAGACTAGTACTTTTAACCACAGAAGTGTTAGTATATTCAGTTGTAACAGAAACTAAGTATATGAAGAGAGCTAGAGACTATTAGGGGCAAGAAACATCAAAACCATGGCAAATACCCATTGGTCCATGACAAGGAGTCCAGGTGGTGATGCCTAAAACTGAATCTAAATGTACAAAGTCTAGTGCCCTATTCACAATAAGCAACTATTCTTTCCTGTTTGAAACTGAACATTCACTGAGTAATTTTAGAATAGCATGATTTACTTTTTTTTTTCTTTTTTGGTTTACAAAGAAGCACATCTGCCTGCACTATCTGATGAAAAACTCTACTTCATTTCTTCTGCCTTTGACTAAATACTGAAGCTAACTGCTGGTCTCTTATGAGGAGTGGAGGTAGGGAGAGGGTGCGTGGTTAAGGCAACCTGGAATTTTAAAGGACATATTTAGCTCCACCACTGTATGCAAGACTGGGAAATTTCAAAATATCTGGGTGTTAAGATGTGAGTGCCACACTGATACAAATGCCACATAAATTTCCTTTATATGGTTAATTAAGATCCTTTGATTTAGAGACACAGAGAACATGGATCTAATAGGAACAGACATGCAGATGCTGCCCTGAATTGCTACTCTCCCACTGCTTCTGCTCTAAATGTAGCTTAGTACCACTAGCTTTTTAACATCTATGCATCTTTAGTATTCAAGATAATTTCCTCAGACAACTTTAACACTAACTGGCAGCTCGCAGGAATTTAGAACCATGAACATGTGAATTACACTGTTTCAAACTCAAGCACAACACAAGCAAATACAGATTTGCAATTTAACTATGAGTTTTTGGTTTGATATTTTTAAGGAAGCTAAGAGATGCCAGTAGGGAGATAGTAGGTAAAAAATTTGAGCTTTTTTCCCCATCCTTCCCGGTTTGGTAGCCCTGAAAGGATTTCATGGAGAAGGGAAACAGAAGTAGTTGGGGGCATAAAATCCATTTCCCCGAGTCTCAGAGAGTCTCTACCTAATGAGCAGGTCTCAAAAAAATGGAAAGGCTGATGGGGTGTGGAAGGAAGCTATATGCCCAGGAGAAATAAAGGCATTTTGTCCAGCGTGAACTGGACCAAACCCAGTTTACCAAATCCACTTTAACTTGTTCAACTACAGCTTAACCACATTCATCTAGTCTGTATTAAAATCTCAAATTCCGTGACAACCAAACTACTCTACTCTGTAGTCACTCTGTTAAATACCTCTTCACAATCTCAAAACTGTTTACTCTGAAAATGGAGGGAACAGGAAGCTTCCTTTCCTGATTACCTATCCAATGCCAAAACATAAAATTTATTTTCAGAGTCTCTTAAATTTAAAAAAAAAAAAAACAACAGAAATATTACTTCCATCCCTATGTATTTTAGAAATATGAATAAAGATTGGGGATGAAATGTTTTTAATTTGGTTCCTACAGCTCTTGGATTGTATAAAATCCAGGCTGGCATAGTGTCACTCAGGAGTGTAGCCACATGAGGAGGCAAGTCCACAGAGAGCCTGGTGACAGGTGACCAAGGTGGCTTCTAAGCGTCTAGTCCTGTCTCCAATACTAACTGGTACGGGGGCCCTGGGTCTTTCATCTTTAAAATGACGTCTGAAATGATTTTAAGAGCCTCTTCAACTTTAAGCTAGTCATAAAGTAACAACATGCTACAAGAGCAAATTAAGAGACGTAAATTATGTAAGACTTTTCAAAGTCCATGTTTGTCCTACATGAAGTTATCTTTGTGCTGCCATGGACAAAGACCTGTTGCGTCCCATGAGATACTTCTTTTCTGACTGTACACTGGAAATTGAAGAGGCTGGCTCTTTAAATTTTCATTTTGAAAAAAGTAAACAACAGTGTGCACCTTATGATCTGACCTTCTGGAGTTTCACCTTTATAGTCTGAGTGCACAGAGGGTGGCACCTGGCAGGACAGGGTCACATGACTGAACTGCCAGGTGTGCTGGTTTGCTGTTAGAACCCTTCTTATCAGGGGTGATTGATGCTTTACATTTAGGTTCAAGCTTCATTTCTGTGCAAACTCCAAACCTTATTATGGGGGTTGTTTGGTATCTTCACTATCGCTGTTCTCAGGGACAAGTAACCCTGTACTGGCCAGTGAAAGAGGTTTGCACACCACATGCCCGTGCCTTTAACTACCTACCTGGCCTGGTACAGGATCACCCTAGCATGCAAGTTAAAAGCAAAGAACCGGATTCAACCTCTGATCTTAATTGGCAATATCTACTCTAATACTGAAAAAGGGAAAACGAAAGAGCCCTTGACACTGCACCTGGTGGAAAACCTCCACGTCCACCTACCAGTAATGTTGCAATCCTAAGAGTTTCAAAGGTTTGTCACTTCTCCCTGATAAACACAGCAGGCTGGGTGGGTTGTCTAGCACACAGCACTCACCTCTTTGATCTTTGCCCTCTTCTCAGCGATGTCGGCGTCGGCCGGCTGCCGGCTAACCACCCCAATGGGGGGCGCGAAGTCCACCGGGGGCAGCCTCTTGAACGTCGCCTTATGCTGCTGGTCCTGGGCTACCTTTTCTTTTTCCAGGAGGATGTCTCTTTGGATCTCCTCCGGCAGCTTCTGCAGGGTCTCCTTGGCTTCCCTGAGAGCCCGCTCGTGGTTTTCGCGGATCCTTGCCAAGTTGTCCTCCAGGGCGGCCGCCGGGTCCCCGGGCGCGCCCTCCTCGCCACGCAGGGGTCTCCCATCTGCTGAGTCCTCGGGGCGCGCCCCGGGCCCGGGTTTGTGGTCGGCGGCCGGCTGCAGGGCGGGGCTGGAGTGGAACAGGACCCCGCTGAGCAGCTTGGAGGAGTCGGGCAGGAAGAAGATCGCTCCAAAGCACAGCGTGATAAATGCACTGAACACCAGCAGCAGCACGAACTTCTCCGTCAGGCGGAAGGCGGCGGGGCCCGATCCCTTCCTGCCGCCGCCGCCGAGCCCCCCACCCAGGCCGCCGCCCAGGCCGCCGCCCGCCGGGCTGCTGAAGAGAGGCAACAGGCCCCCACCGGCATCGCTCCAGCCGCCGCGGCCGCCGGGCAGTCCGCTGTCCAGGGGCTCTGCTCCGCGCCGCTCAGCAGCAAAACTTCGCCGCCGCCCGGCGTCCGCGGCTGCGGGGCTGGGTCCTGCGCATCCAGGCCGCCCAAACCCCTCGGCTGGGCTGCAGGTATCCCCGGGGGAAACAACTCCCCACCGAGTCTTCTCTGCGGGGCGTCTCCTCTGGCAAACAAGCACGCGCTACAGACCGCTGGCGGCAGTCCCTGCGGGGAGAGAAACCGGGAAAGGTAGTAATTATGGTGATGCTGATAAAGTTTCCGGCGGGTCTCCGCCTCCGACAGCCGCGCCAGCCGCCAGGACAGTTTCCCGTGCGTGGTGGGGCCGGGAGTCCAGCTCCCGGCACCGCCCTCGGAGCCCACTATCTGGACTTAGGGTGAAGTTTCCGCGTCCCGGGGGCGGGGTGTCCCGCGCACACCTGGATCGGGGCCGCGCGCGGACAGCTCCTGGAGAGGGCGGCGCACCTCGGGGCACCAGGGGCGCAGCGCGGGTGGGGGCTCGTCAACTTCGCCCGCTGCTCATCCCCGAGCCGGGACCGGCTGCTCCGCTTCCCAGGCGGCGGCGGCGCGCACCGTCCGGCCGCCTCGCAGCCCCGGTCGCGGCTCAGCCGGGCGAGCGCGCCGACCCGCGGACGAGCAGCGCGAGCCGAGCAGCGCGGTGCCCTCCGCCGCGGCCCCCGAGCACTAGCACCACTGCCGGGCTCCGGGCGGTCGGAAACGAGGGCGGTGACGCGTCCGGAGAGTGAAGGCGCGCCCGGGCCAATCACGCGCCGTGCAGGGTCCCCCCGCGGGGGCGGGACCGAGGCGGGGAGGGGGCTGCGCGGGGCGGGGAGTTTACGGGAAGCGCAGCCTCGCGGGGGCCCGACCGGGGGCGGGGAGGTCGCGGGTCCGGAGGCGCGAGGCGGGCGGGGAGGTTGGCAGACGCGCTGCGGAGGCCCAGGGTGCGAGGCGGCCGGCAGAGCTCGTGGTGCTCCGGGGACTTGATCTCGAGCCGGCCTTGGGCCGAGGTCCCCAGTGGGTCCTCGAGGGATGGTGGGGCCCGAGGTGCTTGGGCTGCTGGGGCACCTCCTTACCGCTGCCGGGGGGCCGCGCCTGGCCGTGGGGAGCCCTCGCGGAGCGGGTCCCGGGACGGGGAGAGTCTCGCAGACAATCACCGAACATTGGGTCGTTCTGAAGCGCATCTTTTTTCCAGTTTCTCTCATTTAATCCAAAGCAGGGATTCCCCCGTGCCAGGTAGCTGTTCCACCAAAAGTCTTTCCGTGAGGCGCTGTGATCCGGAGAGCGTTAGAGCTGTCTGGTCTAACATCCTTTTACATCCAAAGAGATTTGGGGGTTTGTGGTTGCCTAGGATTCTTCTATGCATTCTCTCCCCCTTAAAAAAAAAAAAAAAAGTTGCGTCTCTCCCCCACCCACATCCATTTTCAAAATTCATTTGCCTCATAGAATTTGGTCAAATTTTCCATTTGAAGTAGAGAGTTTTATGTTGCCATAGCTTCAAGCAATAAATTTGAACACTGTTGAAATTAAGCCTTGAATTTGACTTCTTCCAGGGAAGTAAGGAGCTGGTCCAATAATAACTGTTTTCAAGACAGCATTATTTTCCAAAATGTGTTCGTAATTCCCCTGTTGCTCTGCAAATAAGAGTTATCAGGGAAGAAAAAGTTGACTCTTTCCATTATGGAAAGCTAGCTTGCAGCAGCCTTATCCTAGCCCTCACCATTCTCTGGAAACATGACTACAGCTGTTTCTGCTTGTTGTCTTAAAGGAGACAGCTGGCACCTTTCAGGAAGGTGCCCACAATACAGTTGTTTTCAGATATTAGACTGTATGAGAAAATATAAAACTGAATGTAAAAACCTCATTACAATTTTCATTTGAGTGTTCATTTTAACCATCTTTATGTGTTGTATATTTGTTTTGTGTAAAGTGAGTCATACATCCAAAGTATCTGTTAATAAGCAATTAGTTATCCTTTGATAAACTGACTTTAAAGCTTGGTTATTTTGTTAACTGCTATGAAATTCTATGCCCAGAAGAGTGCAGCATATCCAAACAGGGTAACAAAGTTCAGAAGACTTAAAAAAAAAAAAAGATTTTTTTTTTCATTGATGAGATGGTAATTTTTGTGTTGAACTGCATTTCTAAGTTGTGAATAGGCTGAAAGGCTCCAATCACGGTGGAATAGTATTGTTTCCAACAACATCCTTAAAATTGAGGAACCTCTTGGCTAGATAAACAGAAAATTATGGTTACTGTCCCTAAAAATCAATCTCTTTATGATTATCCTTTTCAGAATGATTTTTTAAACTGAAATTATTTCTTATAGCCACAGAAATATTGAAAATTTTAATTTAAAAATAATGTTACTAACTATTCCAGAAAAGCAATAAAATCTGCTTTAAGTGCTTGTTAAAGTGGTGATGAAAGGAGATCATAAACCTAATTCTAATTCTAGCACTCTCTAATTTGATACCAAACCAGTTTGGGTAGTTAACCAAAAACCAAGGTAGAAACCCTCAAAATTTAGCATATGGACTTAAGAGATGATTTCTAAAAATTTTAAGTATGTTGATCTCTATTGTAGTTGTCTTTTAAAATAAGTTTTATTTCTCTTCCTGTATTTCTCATGCAAACTCCAGGCTTATTATTAGTGAAACCTGGCTTTAATGATTGGCTAAACAAGAAATTAGCATGGCTGGTCGATTATGGGTTACATATTAATGGATGCCAGTCTCTGTTAGGTAAAATGAGAAATACATGGGAGTGCTCATATTTGGGATAGAATGATATAAAAAAATTCACAGAGAAGGTATTTGAAGAAACACACAAACTAAATTAACCATGTAAAACCCTTTAAAATAACCATGCAAAAGCCCTGCATATTCATGGTAAACGGGGTTTATACAAGAGTTAATAAGTAAAAGCAAGCATTTTTTAGAAGAAAAATTTAACACTTTGCCCTGAACGTAATACCACAATCACTTTGTGTTTGGTGCTCACATAAAACTTTGTATCCCATACATATAATACCACCACTATTTATCTGAATATATGTCATGTTTTGCAAATGTAATGAATGAGGTAAAGCTGCTGTTTTATCAGTTTAATATTGTACTATAAACTTAGCAACCTTAGTAATTTTGAGTGGTTTTTCTGTTTAAATACTTACTGTGTTCTTACTTGGTCAGCCAGTGCTGAATTATGACTCCTGTGTAGCATTTGTAAGTTTGCTTGCAAGCTTAATTATTACATTTCTTTTTCTAGTGCTTTTCTCTGTGTCTTTCTTTGCTGATTTGTAAATATTTGTGTTTCAAGAAAAATCTTTATAATAGAGTATTTTTTCTAAAATCTGGTTTTGATTAAAGAAGCAACACCCCCCCCGCCCCGTACAAAGAAATCCCCAAGTTATTTGGCTGCTTGAGTTTCTCTACTTTAAAAATAACACTCAATAAAAAGTAGATTTAACTGTTACATTAGCCTGCCCAAAATTAAATATAATAATAGCTATAAGCGGGGTTACAGAGGGAAAGGTGATAATATTTTTTAATAAAAATGTTGGTGAATGACTATTTTTATGAAATTACAAGTTTTCAAAAATTAAAGTGAAAAAATTATTTGTGCAAATATCCAGAAAGCACTCTGTAGAAGTTAATGAAAGAATATTTTTGAGAGTTTTTGTTCCTTGATTCAAGATTAAAAAGTAATCTTATAAAATAATTTAATATATGGATGAAATTTTCTAACAAGTTCGATTTTTGATAAAATCTTTCTATAGCAGATTTTCTGACAGTCTTGAAATTTCAAGTCAAACTATGCTTTTATTAAAAAAATATAAAATGTGCAAAATAGTTCGCTGTGAACATTAATCTTGAAATTACAATACTTCACTGAGCATTTCTGAATTTTAAATGAAGTTTATTGAGCTAGGAATTAACCAACACTTTAAAAGAAACTATCAATAATATTTGTGCCCTTGTGAGCACAAATCATACCTGTGTATGAGCTGCAGTCATATCTCTGATTCTTCCTCCATCCCCTCAATTTACTTTGGAACTGCTTGAGTAGCTGATTATTTTTTAAAACTCCTATCACCTTTGTGAGTGGGAGTAGATATGCAGGAAGCTGAATCAGTGAATCAACCCCTGTTGTCCCTGCAGGCTCCTGTTAAAAGGTCCATTTTTGTTTTGAACACGTTTCATAAATACTAGTGGTCCCCAAATTAAAAAAATTGTGTCCCACAAAGTATTTATAAATTGGTTCTTTGGAACTTTCAGAGCACTTCTCTCCATAGAAACAAAGTTGTAAATGGTGCTTTGGGTTGCTAGCCTGCTCTACAAAGATTTAAGACCCTAGGGAAGAATAAAATGTTGGAAAAATACTGTTGCAATGCTGGTAATCTGTTACATTAAATTAGAAAGTGTTTTATTTATCTTGAAGGTTGGAACCTGAGGGCAAACAGATGTAGTTGGAAAAACAGAATATATAATAATCATTTCAGAAATTTTCTAAACCAGCTGTCCAGGCCAGAAAGGTTTATGCTGGTTCTTAGGTGTAGTTTTTCTTCACCACGTACAGCTTTCTTCTGGTTTCAAATGTGTCAGTAGTACCGCCTTTGTAGTCTTTTTGGTTTTGTATTGTTTTGGTTTGACTAACAGAGTAACGGAAAGAGGTAAGCCAAGGAGAAGTTTTCCAGAGGTAACCAGGCAAGGGTTTAAATGAATAATTAAAGAAGACATGCTTATCTTCTGTATCTCTCATTCTTATATATGTAACATTGCTGTGACTCATAGACTAAGTGATATAACTGATGTACCTGACTCAATAAACTCAAAAATTTAATTCTATTTCTACCCCCCTCTCCCTAAAAAGGAAATTAATGTTAGGAGTGGTGAAAGGATAGTGTTTGTAGGATTTTTGTAAGGAAGATCCAGAAAAGCGTGGCAGGGAAGAGATTTCAGTTTTTGTGGTTCTTCATATAGCAGTCACTTTTCAAAT